AAGCCTGTCCGGCATCCTAGACTCCTTTCTGTTTGGGTTTTGTTGACATTAGTGATGGTACAGAAACCTGATCAGGAAAGGTTTGCTGTTACTACTGCTTTGAACACCAAGTGTGCTTTTCGGTACATTAAGTAGCTGATTAGGGGAGGGAAGTAATATTCTACTTGATTATTGGTTACACATATGGAATAAATCCTATTTTAATGGTGTCTAATGAGCCTTTCATTTTCAGAACCTTACACAAAAGCCTCTAATAGAAAGGGAAAGTAATATTTCAAAGGTCATCTTAATACCACTTAATGTCAACAATCTGTAATCAAGCCAGTATATATGCATGGTGATTACAGTCCGGTTGTGATCCTTTAAATATGAAGTAATCTCCTAAATTAGCAAATGGTGTAAGCTAAGGTTCTCTGGGTTTGAGGCAATTTATACTTTTTAATTAAAGTTTGTTACTTGCAAACAGCCTGGGAGTTAGAGATCATTCTCAGAGTGAGGCTTCCCGTAATGCAGCATTTCCACCCCCCCCCCCGAGATTTAAAGTTCTGTCACTTAAAATTTCATGCATTGTTCTTGTGTGTTCTGTAAAGTTGCTGAAATGTGCAAATGAAAAGCTAGGGCCCCCCTTCTGTGCTTTTTCTCTGCAGGGGAATGTACTGGGCGCTAGAAACATGGGGTGTGTTGCTGGTCTGGAGGCCACTGAGGTAGCCTGTGGGCAATGGCTCTTTCAGAACCATCTCTGCCGGATGGCCAGTTACAAAGTAAGGAGTATTCCAGACTCTCGAGTGCAAGACTGGCTGAAACATTGTGCCATTCGCTGCGTGAATGGAGATGACCCCCCACCCCCACCCCTGGCCAGCATCGGGAGAGGTTCCTTTTCGAGCAGCGCTGCTGCTCGTTCACATAGCTCTTGCAGCAAATAGAAGTGGGTGAATCCCGCAGGACTCTTTACCCATGTCAGGAGAGTTCTCTGGAGTAAATCAACAGTGGCTACAGTATGAATGGCTTTCAGGGATATAACATCTGAATCTCCTGGTGGGCTTGTCGGCACCCGGATCGCTGGGTCCCCACCCAAGAGTTCCACTCTGTTCTTCTGGGAGGGACCAGGGGTTTGTATACCTGACAGATGCCCAGGGCCCTGGGATGCTGCTGGTTCCTGCAGTGCCTCTTTGAGAAGCCCTGCTCCCGCTGCATCAGTATGGACACTGGCCCACCATACACCTGACCTTGCGTCCGTCTCCCCCTGAGGAAAGCTTGAGTGTCATTCATTGTGTTGCTCCCAGAGCCTAACACACATAGTAGCCATGCTCGGGGGCTTACTGCGTACTTGCTGGGGACCAAAAACACCAATGTTGTTTACGTGAAATTACTAGCCTACATCAGACACCTCCCTCCACCATCACTCCCTCCCACATTACTGTCCTGTATTTGTCTTTCTTTGGCATTCTGTGTTTCCTCCTTCCGCTGTCCCCTTAGAGTCTGAGAGTTTGTTTTTCTCTTGTCTCTTTCCATATGACCTGTGTTTGAACCACAGGCAACCTGGGGCCTGGTGGTCTACTTCTACTGGTCCTTGGTGTGTGGGTCTACAGCCAGTCGGGGAAGGAGAGCACCTGAGAGGAGCCTGTTGGTCCAGTATTGCTTAAGGCCAGGTTGGTGACTGTGGCACAAAGCAGTCAGGTGACACTTTGGACTTTAGATCTCAGGATGGACCTTGCACGATAGGAACCTCATGAGAAAGCCTTTGGCTAAACCCAAGGAAATGCTCTTTCTGTGGTTCTTGTTTTCCTAGGTTTTAGATGTTCATTCGCAAGGCGGAACTCACTCATTAAAGATCTGGAAAACATGAAAAAAACATTAATACAGAAAAAAGCATCCATTTGCCCAGACGCCCAAAGCAGCCGGTTTGGGAGTATTTTGTAACAGTCTTTTATACTTCTATCTCAATGTTAGTTTATTTTTAATGCATTTGCATTTAACTGAATTTATAAATCTAGGGGTAAAATTGCCCTGAGGGAAAGGAAATTCTTGTGTTGAATTACAGGGTTTTTCTCGTAATGAATGATAATGATTCATTACACAATTGTTTGCTTTTAAGTTTCATCCAGACACCATTAGAAAAATGAATAGCACCTCCTTCCTCTTCTCGCAGAATTGTCAGTGTGGCGAGTTCAGTCAGGTGTGGTGCTCTCCAGACCGCCCAGGGGTGTTGGGTGCAGGGCCCCCCATGGAGCCCTGTGTCAATTCCTCAGTGGCTGACTTTCCTGGTTTGGGGCTCTTGGTTTCAAGTGAATTTCTCCAACAAGAGTGACTGGGTGGTATATATTATGAGCCCCTGAGTCCAAGAAATTGCCTTTCTCTTGCTTTTATATATACAACCCAGTGGGGTCAAACCCCTTCACTCTTAGTCTCTGCCCCTGACAATTGGGCAAGTGCGAGCCCTACAGACCCTGTCACCTTCCAGCCTTTCCCGCTGCAAAGGAGACCTGTGACATCAGCTGGATTTTCGTGATTTTTACAGATAATCTTTTGATTGTCTTTTTCAGTCTGGGAGCTCATGTTTTCCTCCCATCTTTGCTCTTTAAAAACAGTCAGGATGTTCTGAGATGTAATTCACTTTGCACTGATTTCAATGTGTTGCAGCAAGCCTTTTGGTCTTTGATCACTGTTTCTGCTAATAGTAATAATAGCAATTAATTGACTTGAACTGTACATTTTACTGGACATTTATATAGACGCTGAACAGGAGAGAGCATGGAAATGCCAGTCTTCCTTTCAATTTATGTCTGATCAAGTGGATGGGTTCAATTAGTTCAAGGATGTGCGTGTCCCTATAGTCCCTCTGTGGCAGATCTGGGGGTCTTGGTTGTGTGGCGCTCACAGAAACCTCATCGTCTATTCTAAAGTGGGTCTCCTCTCCCGTGTTGGTACCTACACAAGGCAGCCTTCTCTCTGACCAGCACCTGGGATGACTTGTATGAGAGAGGGGAGGCTGGGACCTCCTCAGGTCTGGGTCTGTACCCTGGAGTTGGCCCCAGCACGACATCTGTCCCACCAAAGAGGCTTGCTAGGAGCCAGACTATGGGCTTGAGGGGGCCGAAACCACAAGCTCATTTCAGACCTAAGTGTGATCCACCAGGAGACTCTAGGTCAAATCAGCCGAGCTCCGGCAGTTCGCTCCCAGTGGTCCTTCCCGAGAACCTTAAAACCAGGGGTTTGGTCGGCAGAGGCTTCTTAGTCATGAATTGGGGGTTGACAGTGAGCCCCTTTCTTCTCAGATTTGAGACCCCCTCAAAAACCTGCAGAAACAAGCCACTCAACCCCTCTCTCCCTCGAGCGGTGTATCATTATATGCCTTTCACTGGGTTGAAAAAGTAGTGGCTTTGTCAGCAATCATCTTCTGTTCAGGCTAAATTTATTTTTATGTGAAATAGAAATCAGGAAAACACCAAAATTATTTTAAGCAAAATATCAAAATTGAAATAAACCAACATATGTCTGCAAAACATGTATAACTCTCAATCAAAAATAAGTGCAACTTTCATAAATTTCTTAAAATACTCCAGCATGTGAAATCTGGATGACTTAAATAGATGGCGTTATGACACGGTTGGTTATTCTTTCTCCTCGGTCCATCCGTTCCCTAAACCTGGCCAGCTCTGGACCATCCCTTCACCAACGATGCACTCTGTCCTCCACCATCTATTGTAGTAAGTGAGAGAACCGAGGGATGTTATCAAATGTCTTGTAGTAAGGTTGAATAACATTGCTGATTTGGAATGGAAACCATCTTGAGTTTACCTTCTTTCCTTCTATTTTATCCTCCTCTCTGCCCCCCACATTCCTCCCTAAGAAGTGAGGTGGTTCTTTTTCTTTTTTTCTTGTTTTAAACACCATTTCCATATTCCCAAATCTCCTGTGCAGTGGGAACTCAAATGGGATGAAAACTGTCAAAGTGACATCAGTATTCTGGGGCTCACTACCAAAAGGACAGAGTCCCAGGATAAATGCCCATCTCACATTTTAACTCATGCACAGGCTTTCTGTAACACATTTTCTTTATTAGATTGTCACTTCCAGGATTGGAACCATTGTGAGCCTCTAATATAGTTGCTGGTATTTTACCCACAAGACATGTAGTAAAGAGTCCCATCAATAAATATTATTGACCAACCAATAAAGCATTTCTTGAAACCTTCGGTCTCTCATTTTCAATTCCTCTTTTCATGAACGAGGTAACAACATTCCTTAGAAAAACAAAAATAGGTGAAACTATCACTTCATTTGGAAAACATTCTCAGCAGTACATGAATTATGTTCCAGTTCCTTTTTTTAAAAGCACGTTAAAAGCTTTTATCTCATTAGGTTTGGCATCAGTGTGTACGCCAGCAGAGTCGCTCTTTGGCAGCTGAAAAACTCCTCGAGATAGTTCAGGAAGTTTCTGGTCGTGACGACCCCACGGACACGTGCCTTTTGCATCCTGGACCCTTGGTCTTCAGAAGCCCACCTTGACTCTTGTCCATCACTTCGATTTTTTGTTGTTGTTGTTCTTAGTTTATTAGTTGTGAAAAGTTTCTTCCTTCCTGGTTTCTTCCATTTAGTCCAATTTGGAAATGGAAAAGTGTGTTAATTTTTTAATAAATCTTTAAGACACGCATTACTGTATTTTTATTAACTGAGCCAGATGGCTCACAGCAAATTTTCTCTGACACAAGTAATCACAGAAATCAGTTTGGGACCCAGATCTGGTAGGGAAAGTGGCATGTATATTAGTGGAAAAATGCAGTTCACATCAATACATGGGTATTTTTAGAAGTCACATTTGTTACTATTTGGATTTCATCTTATTTTTTTGTTTTGTCTTTTACGTTTTAGACTAAATACTTGCTAAGGACATTTTTCCCCCCTGTCCCCCAGACCCAAACATTCAAGTTCCTTCTCAACAGCTAAAACTTGTTTTCTTTTTCTTTTCTTTCTTTCTTTTTTTTTTTTTTTTTTTCCAGTTTGAAGGTTGCAAGAAGGCCTTTTCCAGGCTTGAGAATCTCAAGATTCACTTGCGGAGCCACACAGGCGAGAAGCCGTATCTCTGCCAGCACCCGGGCTGTCAGAAGGCCTTCAGTAACTCCAGCGACCGTGCCAAGCACCAGAGGACGCATCTGGACACTGTAAGAAGGGCAGGAGCTTTCCAACTTCCAGCCCCAAGTCCTGGGGTGAGGGAGTGCCCGTTTGATGGTGGGCTGGTGGAGGGACTTGCTTTATGGTCTGCAGGTTAGAGGGACAATGCCAAGGGCAGCAGTGGAAACTTGGGGAAGGTCCAGAGGGGCCTGTAGTGACAAGTTATTAGAAATCTCCCACCTGCCTGAGACCAAGAGGTTCCTTGGTGACCTCTGTGTACAAAGCAAAGATGGGTCAGGGGCACGTAGGAGACTGGAGGACAGAGAACCACCAGGTACTGGGCATGAAAATAAGTATTTAAATACCAAGACATGCGTGAATAGATACTATACGCTATTGCTTGGAATAAGAGGTGGTTTGGTTTTTGTTGGTTTTACTACCTGCCATCGCCCGGCCACCCCAGCCCTTACTCTGGTTCTTTTCCTTCTGATGTAAGAACTCTGAGGCTGGCACGGTCACCGAGTATGAGTCTGGCCTTTTGCTTTAGAAACCACCTGGCATTTTCACCTTCAGGCAATCTGAAAATAATCAGCAGATCTCTCCCCAGGATTCAGCTTCATTATGCCTCCTGTGCGTTAACAGCCGCACATCCACTGACATAACCTGTGTGAGAACCCCTGGTTTTCATCATTTCGCCTTAACTCTCTTCGTGCAGTAACATTTTGTTCCTTTCCTGAGCCTCTTCTGTTTTCTGTCCTGTTGATCATCCTCCTTTGCATTTCTAGAGTTTTGAGACCATTTTCCTTCCACGACGCCCGGGAGAGAGTGTGCACTTTCTCTCCACTTAACAAAGCCATCAGGACAAATGTATTATACACACCACAGATCTCTTATCCCACGTTCTCGCAAATAATGTATTCATGACAGTACTTTTTCAGTGTTAACATTCTGATGTCTATTATTAAACTACACCAGAATTTGAATTTTGAAAAGATATCGTTATTTCTACACACCTTCTCATACATATTTAAGATTCTTCTGATGTTAGAGTTGACATATTTATTAAATTTTATATTAGTCTCTATTAGTCATATTGATAGAAGTCATTTTAGCTATATGTCACATAACCTTTATAAACAGAATTATCTCCTAATATCCATAAACGTGATGGTTTGCCTAGTAAATAGCTAGAATATAATTAGAGCACTATGGGCAGAGGAGAGCGCCTTTCTGCTCTAGCTGAAATAAATTCAGTGATTTTAGGACCAACAGAATAGAATATGAAATGAATAAATTTGGTGAATAGCAGGATTTTTTAAAAGGTAGAAATAGGAAAAAGAATAAATTATGTTAAAATGCCCTATGTTGTATGTCTAAAACTGTCCTGGTAGAATCTAATAAATTTTCCAATTTGTCATTAAACTTTATCATGGAAGAATGAACATTCACGAGACAAGATTGTCTTGAGAAATTGCCTCTACTCTAGCTAGTTATCTGTAGTTTGAAAGAACTATTGTGAGCCGAAGTGTTATGGCTCCACAGTACCCTTCTTCACTCGGAGCTAATTTTAGCTAATCAGACTATGAGCATTTTCTGAAATCGTTATGGATTTTTTTTTTTTTAAATCACTTTTTAAAACTTTTGAGGAAAGCTACCACAGATAATAATTTCATGATTTGGTTCAATGCAGTAGCTTTTAAAACCCAACTACTTTTATTTTTTTTTTAAACACTGCTCTATTAAATATTTTAAAACCATCATCCTTCCTTTAAGGTGCAGACCTGCCCTCCTGTTTAAATTTTTATTGCATTAGATGAATTGGTAAACTCTTTTAAAATCACGTAAAAATTAAACATTTGTCTTAAAAAGCAAACTGTAGCTGCTTGAAGAATGTGTTATTTAAATTCAGGCCCCCATTTCCTTTCATTAAGCACTCCTTATGCTAATGCTGTCAGAATTTTGGATGAAGTATCTTTCTTCAACTCAATGGATTCTTTACTTCTTGGAAAATTATTTGCTCCGCAAGGATTACGGAGTTCATAATTCTAACCCTGAAAAGTGTTATTGACTTATTTCTCTATCAGCATCTTAATATCGAGACAGGGGGAATGATTTTACAGTACATGTGGAAACTATAGTTTGATAAAGTGTAGCATGCCACTTAGAGCTTCGGTAACCTGAGGTAAAATGACCATATACTGGTCCAGTAGCTCTTGGACCAGCACCAGACATTGCTCACTTGGCACATGAATCTCAGGGGGCTGACAGCAGGGGAGAGAGGGAAGCCACCTGGGAGGAGTGGTGAGTATTCACGCCTTCTCCAAGAACATCTCAAAATCAAGTACAAAAATCACATTACCCATTTCTTGTCTTTCCAACCCAAATAGTAGCGACTGTGGTAATAATACTGATATTGATTTATATAACATGTTAATATTCCTAAAGTTTTTTACATGCCACATCTCCTGGAGGGCTCGAAATGTGAGTTTATGTGGTCACAACATGACTGCCGATACAGATATCATCGAGATCTCCCCTAAAGCCAGGGCAGGGTAAGGAAGGCCAGTGTGAGAATACCGTGTGAACTCAGGAGAGAGAACTGTTGTTTACCCAGTGGAAACTCATGGGCAAGGGTCTTCCACCCATATTGGCTGACTGTTTGGAAAACCTGAGATATCGAGAGCCTTGTTCATCCACTGTTTATGGTCAGACTTCTCATATGTCGTAACACGGTGCCCAGCACCCCACAAAACCACAAGACCTGTTGGGTGATTGAGTCAATCAGTCAGTCAGGGAACAGATACATTGCACTTAGAATTCATATTGGGTGTGTCAAAATAAATTATATATTCATGACTTCACCTTGTGGTTGGAATCAAAAGTGGCAAAAATAAAAACAAATCATAAAGATGGCTTTCAGCAGGGCAAATAATGTAACCCATGTCTGTGTTGGCGCACAAAATGACAAGCATGCACGAGAGAACAGGAACAAAACATAAAGAGAAAAATATCTGAATTTTTTTTCCTGGTTTTTTATTTTGATTTGATAGGGGGTTTTTGGTCTGTTTTGGTCTGTTTTGTTAATGACATAGCAGGCTCCTCAAGCGAGAATCCTCTTTTAGAGACAGGCTTCCTTTTTTCCTCCTTACATTTAAAATCATGTTGGCAGGGCACCTGGGTAGCTCAGTGGGCTAAAGCCTCTGCCTTCGGCTCAGGTCATGATCTCAGGGTCCTGGGATAGAGCCCCGCATCGGGCTCTCTGCTCAGCAGGGAGCCTGCTTCCCCCGTCTCTCTGCCTGCCTCTCTGCCTACTTGTGATCTCTGTCTGTCAAATAAATAAATAAAATCTTTAAAAAAAAAAAATACAATAAAATCCTGTCGGCACAACTCTAAGTAGTCTCACCTACAGAGGTCCAGGGTAGATGAGGGACTGTAAGTTGTGACTTACGAACACAGTTTATCTTGTGATTTTTTTCAGTGTAGTTCTTCGATTAGACAGAAAGATTTGCTTTATTTCATAGCTTAAAAGCCATACTCTCCAGCCCTTGGAGCATTTTGTTATTACCATAAGTATAGCTGCTACATTTTGAATCAATGTGCAATGCTCCCATTCATTCATTCCTAATCATTATAGACCAATCACCAGGGACCCATAAATTAATAAGATTCTAGACTCAGCCTTAGGCTCCACACCTCACATCTCTCAGGAGCATGGGGGACTTGAGGTAGCTAAAACTGGTGTTTTCAATGCATGCCGTCAAGGGCTCGGGCATATAACCCAGGCTGAGTACCGGGACTCCTCTAATCCTGTAATCCCTATAATAATATTAATGTTCCTCTGGCTGAGTTTTCATTTGTCTGTTGTTTGAAAGACCTATTGTCTCTCACTCACCTTCCACTAATATTCCCTTTTAATTCTCTCCTTCTTTCTTTCTGAATCAGGTTTCCTCTGAAACATTCCCAGTCTTTTCTGGACTTTCCTGCAGCTTCCTTATACCTGAACTCTTAAAGAATGTGTGTTTCCTAGTTTCTGACAGTACCAAAGATTGTTTTCAGGGGAGTATAACTGTAAGTATGACTAGAGATGCTTACTAATAATTTCCACATCCAAAAATGCCGCAAGAGCTTTTGTGGGAAGAGTGAACCTCTAAAGATGTCTCCTTGTTTCTTGAAAGTTTGCCTTCCACTTGGCCTTCGTGCATTGGCTTTCGAATTAAAAGGCACAAATGTAAAAAAATAAAAATAAAAAAAAATAAAAGGCACAAATGTTACCCAGCATTTCATTGCATTGGCTTTCGAATTAAAAGGCACAAATGTAAAAAAATAAAAATAAAAAAAAATAAAAGGCACAAATGTTACCCAGCATTTCACCTCAGTCACTTGGTAATAGTTCATGCTCTGAAGTCAGTAGTCTGAGTCAATCTTCCCCAGTTACCTTTATGATTTAACTACAGTTGGTTTCTTTTTTTCTTTCTTATTTAGAAACCTTATGCTTGTCAAATTCCAGGATGCACCAAACGCTATACAGACCCCAGTTCCCTCCGAAAGCATGTGAAGGCGCATTCTTCCAAAGATCAACAAGCAAGGAAAAAGGTAATTTTGGAAGAGCGTTTACCCAGCCAGGAAAGGCACATTTAAATTACTTCTGCAGTAGTGGGACCACGTGCGGGGCAATGAATTCTTACACTTCTCCAGTTGTTACATGCATTAGACGCTTTGGGGAGAGGGACAGCTTCATGAAGTAATAGCAATGTGGTGGGTTGCACAGCTGATATAACCAGCTGTGAATTTCTGGGGAGGGCTCGTATAATAAGAATCAGAGAAAATTAGCAAAAGTCCCCTAAACTAGAGAATGACAAAAGGCTTTTATGGAAATTATGTCCACATAGCTAAAGAAAATTGAACTGGGAAAAACAGCACAACAAAAACCCTTTCTGGAGATAAGTGCTTTTTCATAAAATATCAATTGGCTGAAGCCATTTTAGCTCTGAGGGGGAAGGTAGGTATATCTCTAGGATAAGTAGAGAGCATCCCTGCTTTAAACTTAGGAGAAAACACGTTTCTTAATACGTACGATGTACAGAAATTCGAGAAAGGAATTGAACCTAAAATTACTTTGACATTACTGAGGAATTAATGCATCTTTCAGAGTACACAGAAAGCATAGCATCTTGGATTTGGAAGAAATATTAAAGATCATCTAGCCAACCCACCTGACGCTCTCTCTCTCTTGACCTCGTAAAATCTCTAGCAGGCGGTTGGTCATGTCGTGCTCCCACACCTTGAGATCTGAGGAGCTTACTACCTTTCACCGCATTTCCCAATAACTGAGTTTGTAAGTTTTGGGGCCAACGAGTACCTTCTGACCATGGGAGAAAAACACAGACACACTGAGCTGACCTTAGCTTTTTGAGTGTTTCCTTTGTGTCAAGATGGTACTGATTCATGGAAGGGCACTTCGTGACAAGTGTAAGGGAGATTTAAGATTTAACTTATGTCAAGTGATTTAAACCCATGATGTGATCAAACCCTGTGGCTGTGGTTTCAGGTCATCAGTGCTTCTACTCAACTAGAAACGTGCATTCTTTCATGGTTTATGGGGATTTAACACTTTTATGTTGGGAAATGCTGGGTAGTCTTTTTCTTTTTTTTTTTTACTTGAGCTTTTTCTTCCTTGAGAGGTGTTAACACAATGCCAGTTGAGGGCTCATATATGGAAAGAATTTGACCTCTTCCTTGTGAATGAGAAAAATGCCTAGTCGGAAGGATTGGAAAATCTTGCATATAAACCCACTCTTGTAAGTCAATTGTTAAAATCACTTTTTTCCTCTATAAATACAATGAAGTCTCTTTTATTGGAACACAGTAAACTGATAGCAGATGATCATTATCAACAGAGGATAACAGATGATGAACTAAATATATCCTGTATTGAACAAGTGCAAAGGAACTGCTATGTGAGTTAATGATCTAAACAAAGTTGTAAGGAGGATACTTCATCTTTTTCAAGTAACACCAACCTCGCATCCTGTTCGCTATGTCGGCAGGACCACTGCCTACTGGCTTTTGTCATTATCTGTGTGTGTGTGTGTCTTAGGAACTTGATGTAAGTTGTCTTTGTTTAAGAATCAAAACCAAAACAAACCAGAATCACAACTCTTGAGAGATTTTTTTCTCCTAAATCTGACCATTCACCCCTAAGTTGTCTGAAATGCATGAGGTTTTACCGTAATACCAAATCCATCATAAGATTGGAGAGCGCCTTCCCTGAGAAAAACAGCGGCCTGGAACCGGAGAGAATGCAGGTCTCACATCCAGTCGAATAAGCCCCAGTGCGATAGTCTACGTGAGAAGGTGACCTGGGTTGACAGTATGTATGGAAACAGAATAAGATATTTTCAGGAATTGTTAATTAATTGATTTCCATTGTTCAAATGTGGTGTGTCTCAGCCTCTATGTAAAGGAGGGATAGTTCTGATTGTGTAAAAGATTCTTGAAGCCCTAATTTAAAAAAAGAAAATCAGACCCTGAGACTACAAAATAGAAATGTAAAGACAATTTACAGACAGACTTCAACAGTCAGGCGGTTAGGTAACAAGGATATACTTTCGAGGAGCAATATTATAACTGAATATCAAATATTTCAACATTTTCTGAATCTCGTCTTCCAGAAAATGAGATACTATGTCTGCAGTGATCAGCTTTTGATGCTGCGCACCCTGTTCCTTGCAAACGGGTGAGCTGGCTGTGGCTGCCTTTTAGTGCCCAGAATTTAGGAACCGGTTTACCATGTTTACTCTCCAAATTTTAATCTGTTTCTTTAATCTGAAGATTTTAAAAATCGTTACGAATCAGTGATAAATTAATCTGTGGAAATTAAAACGAGGAAAGTTGCTCCATCCAATAAAAAGAGGAAGTGCCACTCCCCAGAGAAGCTGTGTGAATGAACCCCAAATCAGGCAATCCACATTCTCAGACTTCGTGCCGGTGTACTGGCGTGGAATATTTCCATGGTACGATGTTGTTACTAGACCTTGGAGAGATTCTAATTGCTAACTCACTTCAGTGCTTGGTATTTGAAATATTTCCTGGCAGCAATAATAAAAAAAAAAGAAGAAGAAGAAGAAGAAGTAAGAAACAATAAACCTTTTAAGGCAGAATTAAGATTATTTATGACTTTAATTAAAAATTGAAAACTGGCATCATTTCAAAAAAGCCTTTACAAAAATGTGAATTCATCAAAAATAACCATAAAAATTCCAAGGTGATAAAGGCACAGTGGAGTAATGGTCCCAGCCCTAGGGAACTGTTTTGTTGAAAAGAATAAAACCCTTTTCTGTCACACCCTGTTAGTCATGGACTTGTTTAATATACCCTGCCTGCCTGCTTTCCTCTAATCCTCTTTTTAACCTCCCCCTGGACACTAAATGACATTATTTGGGTCTTAACATTGCCGGCTTTCTGAGGCCCCACTCTGAAACCCAGGCCAGTGACAAGGCACCCTCAGCCAGCCGTCAGACAGACGTTTACTGGGGGAGGCAGAGTCCTCGCGAGTGATGACCTGGCCGTGGGCACGTGGTCCTCCCCACACCTGTTGGAGCCTAGTGAAAAACCAAAGACCTGAAAGCTTAGCTAAATACTATTCGAGCTACAAAAAGAAAGAAGAAGGGGGGAAGCTCTTCTGCAAAGGAATTGGGATAATTTGGCTCATTGCATGCAGAAAGTAACTTTATCTCTGCCTAATGTGTGCACACCCACACATTCCATCAGCTGATGTACAGACTTCTCCATGAATGCGCCTTGCAGATCTCGAGCTCTTTAAAGAGCGGGCTACATGGATAAGTGAGTCGCGAGATACTCAGGTCACCAGCTGTGGTCTCTGGCGAGAATAGAATGTAGCCCGCAGAGCAGAAGGCAAAATCTGTCCTTCAATTCGGCCTGATAATGAGTGGCAAAATAAGAGAAAACTAAGGCAATGAGCCGCTTGAAATTTCCCTCAAGGCTGTGAGCTTTATCAGAAATTTTCATTTGCACCTTGGAAGTGCCCGTAAGCGGGGTGATGGTGGTGATGGGGGGGGGCGGGGGGGCGGTCCTTTCAACTCTGGCTTGTTATCAAAATGGACTTTAGAAAGCAAATGCAAAAGAATGCTGGGCCAAAAGTTAGAGACAGCACACATCTTTCGTCCATTTCACAGCTCCACGAAGGTGCCAGACTCTGGCTATGATTTGCGAAACGTTTAGTTAACATCACCTCTGACCCTCCCTCGTTGATGACTTGGACATTCGCAGCCTCAAACAGGCTGTGATAAACCCCGAACAGCATTCCCAACCTGCAGGAATGCAGCCTGCACTTCTCTTTCGTGCTCAGGGGGACGCCATGGGTCGCTGTCTGGCTCAGACGGAGCAACGTACGCGTCGCACCTCTTCGGGTAGACCTGGGGGTTCTGTGGGCTCTGCTCGGAGCCACCACCATTTCACTTAGTGAGACAATTTCATTAAGCGCCGCAGAGCTCACCTTGCTTTGTGCCCTTGTTGGGATCTTCAAAAGCTACATGAAAACATCCAGTTCCCTACATGGAGGCATCCATTAGAGGAGCTGGTGAGGCTCTCGCTTTCCTCCCGTTTGGGCCTAGTATCATCGGTGCAGCAGGGGTGTGCACAAGGGCACATAATCAGAGGCCTTCCCAGATGGCGACTTTCCTTTTTCTCTTGTTCTCCCTCCCTCCCTCCCTCTCCTCTCCCCTCATCTTCTCTCAATCTCTTAGTGGAATGTCAGTCATAGGCACAGATCATGGACGTAGGATTTCAAGATGAACTAGCTGCCCCCTTACTCCCACGTGTAGCAAATCACATGGGAAATCCTATTGGATGAGTGATGCTTCTGTGATGTTGAAATGTCACTAAAATGTTTTGTCGTTGTTGTTGTTATTGTTGTTGATGCTTGGTAAGTGAGTCATTCACTAACCTTAAAGATTGTTGGTGGCAAATTGCTTCTCTCTCTCTTCAAAACAATGGTGGGCCTTACCCTCCTGCCTGAATGTCCTGATGCCTCAGTGGAGGGTAACTGATTCTGGGAAAGGCCCTGGATATGCCTTTATAAGGCAAATAACTGTGGCCCAAAGTAGTGATGTTAATTAATTCAATTTAAGTGATAAAAAGAAGTCATCTTGGTTTAACACTCGACTCATCGCACTGATTTGAAGTTGAGACCAGCCGCGTGGAAGCCTGCAGCTTAGGAAAGTGACTCTGGCTCTGCTTTGGAGAGCGCTGTTGTCACCACGTGGTGCTGGTGGGGTGAGGAGGGACCCGAGAATCCCTGTTGGGTGTGGGAAGTGGAGAGGCGGGTCAGCTGTCCATGGAAGAAGCAGTTAGTGAGGAAAAGCTTCTCTTTCTTTCTAGAGAGAGCAGAAAAGCTGTCTTCAGCCTTGTAAATGCTGAAAAAGACTTACTAGCTAGTGTCTGTGGGCCTAGAGGCCCAGCCAGGGACTTTTTGTAAGACTTAAAGCAGTGTTGCCCAAAGTGTGTTTTTGGAACTCATCCCACAGAATGTTATGAGATACTCCTTTTAACAAGTTTGTTCTTGTCATATATGT